GGGCTCAGAAGTCAGATCTCCTGCGGGAGCTCTGGCTCTCTGAATCCAGCGCTGTAAAGACTTTCCTGTGATCAGACTTTCAGTAAACTTTCTGTTGATTTTAAACAGTCCTCTCCTGTCGTCACTTCTCGTGCTTCCAACAAAAGAATTGGGTTAATTTCTAACGAAAAGGTTAGAATCTAACAACATCACAAGTAAACATTAGGCAAACCGCACTCCCTTGTTTTAAAAATTAAATCGGACTTTATCTACCTTTCTAAGCAGTCATGAGCCTTGTCACTCCTGCAGCGTAAAAAATAAAAAACAAAAACCCCTCCACAAAAGACAAACATTTCCTAAAATAGGAGCAACACTTCTTGGTCAGTGACACTACTGTATATGGAAGTAAACTCCTACTGATGTGCTGGTTGTGGATGACCATGCCAGTGGGCCCATGTTTGACAGGCTGGAAAGAAATATTAAAATCACATTAATGGGATGTCATTCTTGATATTATATGGAGATATCAAAATGCCCTGATAACATGTTTGAATCAAGTAGGACTGACAAGAAGGAGCAGATGCTCTTTAACAAAGTGCCATGTTATCAGAGGTGTTCAGCTCGATAAAGAACTATGTGGTTGACTGTAAACCAAAAACATGCACTGTGTGTTAAGAGGGACACAGTAATATGAATGCTATACAATATCCTGGAACTGCATCTAAGTCATCATATCCACTGTTCTCCCTCGATACCTCAGCTTCGAGTCCTGTCCTGTCCTGTCCTGTTCTGCTTGTCTCTTGCAGTTTCACTGCTTTCTCCATAAAACACCTCTAGACAAACGTATTTCCTTAAATAAAGAAATAGGGTGTGGTAGTGTGCTAACTGCGAGCCATAGGCATGTGCCTGTCATTTTAGAATGATTCTGATTTACCACCCAAAGTGGTAAGAACACAATTGGCCAGTGCTCACGTTTTATGAATCTGACAGTAATTTTGTGTGGGCACTTATTTCAAGGCTGTAATATACTATACTATATAAATATAAATAAATATATATGTGTTTGTGTGTGTGTATTATAAGCTATTATTTCTTTGTAGCTTCTTCCGGTTCTTTCAAACCAGGAACTCTCAATGAGACGAAAGAGACTGCTTTAGATTTTATAAAAAATAACCGTGCTGGTTTATTCAGAGGATCACAGGTAAAATTCACAGTACACGTCCAGAGCTCTCTCACCCCTCTACCTGCGCGCAGGCAGCAGAAATCGTTTAGGCAAAACATGCGGAAAAGTCAAGGTGCGTGACTGTTGTTTTCGTGGTGTGTATCTAAAACAATTGGACATAACCTTACACATTAAGACAAATATTAAGACTAGCATTACAGTTGACACTAACAGCAGTTTTCCTGTAACCTTGACGTGCCTGCAGTCCTCACTGCAGGCTGAATAGTTACAGCAAAGCTAGTCACCCTGTCTGTACTAAACATTTCTAGACACCAGATCTCTAATCCATATCTATCTAACTAAGAAATAACCTAACAGTATGTTTGTACAAATTTTACTTGTTCAGTTGTTCATCATTCTCTATCAGAGCTTCCACTGCAAGCCTGAATGTAATGGAAAAACTAAGTGTTAAGATATACAGTAGATCTTGACTGACCCTGAAAGGTTGTGATTATGCCATCAATGCATCGTTTCCCCTGACACCGCTGGCATCAAATGGCTCATCAAACACATCACCTCAGTCTCTCTCAGCAGCGTGTGACAGCTCAGTAAATGTCCATCTCACCCGCTCTGTTCTCTAGCTTTCTCCCCCTTTTAACTTCAGTGATTTTTTTTCTATCACTCTCTCTGTCTCTGTATCAGGAAACCCCCTCTTCAATCTGTATCATGATCTTCTGGCCTTTGATTTGCTGTGAGCGTGATTGAAAAAAGGTGTTGGAGTGTGGAATGCGTTGGGATTCAGAGCCTCACACAGATCAAACTAAGGAAGCAAGAAAAGGCTGACAGCTATGGGGCTGCTGTATCGAAGGAGCAGTGAGGCTGC